GATGTTCCCACAAACCAAACCAAACAGCTCTGGTACCCCTTTGATTGGCAGCCTGAGTTCTTTGGCGATGTGGCTGTGGTCAATGGCCGTGTGTGGCCCTTCCTCGACGTCAAGCCCCAGGCCTACCGCTTCCGCCTGCTCAACGGCTGCTCCTCTCGCTTCCTCAATCTGTCCATTCCCGGCGGCCCCAAGTTCCAGCAGGTCTGAGCCTGCCCACCTCTTTCGCTTCCTGCCTTGTCCTGCCTTGGCCCTCATTTTGTGCGCAATGGGGCCGCCACAGATCGGCACGGACGGCGGTTTCCTGAACCGTCCCGTGGAGCTGGATTCGCTGCTTTTGGGTCCAGCCGAACGGGCGGATGTGATCGTGGACTTCCATGGATATGGTGGAGAGACACTGGTCCTCCTCAACAACGCCGCCACTCCCTTCCCCGGAAGTACGCTCCACCCGCCTTCTCCCCCCCAAAGCCTCACTCTGGTCCTAAGAGTGGGACTCTCCAATGGCGTACAGACGCTACTGGGTTGGAGCTGCCCGAACTCATCCAGTTCAGAGTGTCACGCAAGGGTAGGCACAACCTCCTCTGTTCGCCTCTGTTTCAGTTGAGATCAACCATTTTTGGGCGTAGGCGGGTCCCGACACCCCTACCAGCTCCCCTGCTTTCAGAAGGTGCCACGCGCTCCCGAGGACCCCTTCGACCTCGGCTACCCATACCACATCGCCAAGGTTGATCACGCTCTCTGCCCACGCAGCGCTTGTTCTAAACTGACTGAGATCTCAACGCATTCCGACTCGTTCCAGGAGCGGGACTTGACGCTGGTGGAGATCAACTCCACGAGTCCTGATGGCACCCCGATCGTGATTCCCACGCTCAGCGGACTTCGCTTCCATGACCCGCCCACCGAGACGCCGCGTGTCAACACGGTCGAGCTGTGGCGCCTCATCAACCTCACCCCTGACACGCACCCCATTCACCTGCACCTCTCGCAGTTCCGCCTGCTTGAGCGTAGGCCATTCGACGTGGCCGCCTACGACGCCAATGGCGAGATTGTCTACACGGGCCCTCCCCTCCCTCCCGACCCCAACGAGAATGGGTACAAGGATACCATCAGGGCCAACCCTGACGAGGTCACCACCATCCTCGTCCCCTTCGAGGTACGCCCCAAGCTGACAGTTATGTGTGTGTTTGTGTGTGTGGCACCTCCCTGCTGAGTTGTGAGCCTGTGTGGCCATGCACAGGACTACACGGGCAACTACGTATGGCACTGCCACATCCTGGAGCACGAGGACAACGACATGATGAGGCCGCTCGTGGTGCTCCCACGCAGGAAGCAATGCAACTGACCTTCCCAAGGCATGCAGCACTGAATAGTCGCCAATCAGAATCGGTGCAGAAGTTACAGTTTTCAATGCATGTGTCTTAAGACAGCGAGCCTCCTCTCCAAAACTGGGACTAACGTCAACTGCGCCTCCAAGGCCTGCAACCCGCTTGTGCCGTGGGTCATCGCCCAGATCTCCTACTCCGATATCATCAACCGCATTCATCCCCTGCGCCAGGAGGTGGTCAGTGGTACTGTGCCATGCTTCTGGCGCAGTGGAAGGCAAGCCTCAATGAAGCAAACTTGGCGAACTTCACGCGATGCACCGCAGGGATGTGTAGGTTGGCGCTACAGAGGGTGGGCTTGCGCACTTGTACACAGTTTTATTGTGGTCTTCACAACAACAACAACAACAACGCGTCCCTCCGGGGACCGAGGCATGCATCGTGCAGCCGGACTGATGCAAAGTCATCAGCGTGCAGCGATGGTTGCTCGCCGGCTGAGGGTCGTGGACTGGGCGCATTGCCAGGGCCTCATCACACCAAGGTGCAAGCTGACCACGCCATGGTCGTGCTCAACCTGCTCCGCAAGTGCAATGTTGCAGTGAGCTCAGTCACCCATCACACTAGGATTGGACCACAGTGACCAGCTTTGTTTCAATGCACAATGACGTCGCTCATCGCCTTGACCTTGCAGTAGCTGCTGATGCTGTGGACCACGACGTGCTCCTACGCGAACTACGGGATCCGCACCGTCTCGATCACGTCTGGCCCATTGGCGTTCTCGACACCCGCCAGCAG